TGTACAATTTTATCATATAGTGGAATACTCTTCGGAGTTTGTCCTGTGGTTTTTTCCCTCAATAGTTTTTTGGGGGTTTTTCCACGTAAAATTTGGTGTTATTTTGCTTGTTTATTTTTCCCGCTTAAGTGGCTGGTTGAACCGCCCATTTTATTTATAGTTCTTAAGTGGCAGGTTGAACCGCCCATTTTATTTTGCTTGGTCAGCTAAGTCGCCTTTTTCACTAACCGTTATATTGGTTGGCTAAGTCGCCTGTTTCACCGTTCTTTGTTATTGTTCACGTGTTTTATTCACAGGAATTATTTATTCCGCGCGCGCCAATTTTTTCCCAACAACTGGTATCAGAGTTAGGCGCTACTAATATTCACGTGAACAATGGAGGTGAACCAGAGCAAAATGATCATGCTGAATAGTTTAAACTGTCAGCTGTGGAAAGGGAAAATGGAAGACCTTCTTTATGTGAAGGAATTTCATGAGCCTATCTTTTCAGAGCAAAAGCCAGACAGCATGAAGGATGAAGAATGGAGGCTACTCCATAGGCGAGTGTGTGGATTTATTCGGCAATGGATTGATGATAGTGTGTTGAATCATATCAATGATGAAACTGATGCACGCACACTATGGACAAAGTTAGATCAGCTTTTCTGGGAAAAGACTGGGCAGAATAAATTGTGCCATATAAAGAAATTAATGTATTAAGGTACAAAGATGGCACTCCCATAGCAGACCATGTTAATGATTTCCTTAGCATCATCAAGGAGTTAGCTAATTTGGACATAAACTTTGATGATGAAGTGAATGGTCTGATTCTTCTCAACACCTTGCCAGAATCATGGGAGAGTTTTAGATCAACAACAATCAACTCATCTCTTGGTGGTCAAGTCACACTGAAAATTGCCAAAAACAAGATCTTTGAAGAGGAAAAAAGGATGCGGGCACTTGGAGTCTTCTCGTAACCAGATACTCAAGCTCTTGTCATGGAGAATAGAGGTAGGAGTAAAACCAGAGAACCCAGAGGACGAGGAGGCAGATCCAGATCAAAGTCCAAAAGTGGAGTGAAATGCTATCATTGTGGCTAGTTAGGCCACATGAAAAGGAATTGCTACTTGTTGAAAGGAAAAGACAAGAAAAAGGTTGAAGATAGCAATACAACCGCTGTAGCATCTACCAGTGGCGGTGACGTGACTTTACTATGTGATCGTGGGGAGTGCTGCCATTTAGAAAACTCGGATGCTGAGTGGATAATTGATTCTGATGCCTCTTATCATTGTGTTCCCAAAAGGGAATATTTTTCAACATACAAAGCAGGAGACTTTGGCACCATAAAAATGGGGAACAAGAGTGTTTCTCATATTATGGGAGTTGGTGATATCTGTGTCTAGACAAATGTTGGGTGCACATTAACACTAAAAAATGTGCGACATGTTTCTGATATGCGTATTAACCTATTGTCTGCAAAAGCACTAGATGAAGAAGGATACGCACACTACTTCGGGAATGGCAACTGGAAACTCACCAAAGGATCAATGGTGGTGGCATAAGGGAGAGCATGTTGCTCATTATACAAGACACACATGAAAATGTGTGAAGGTCAACTGAACACAGTTGAAGATGAGGCTTCTCCAAATTTATGGCATAATAGATTAGCTCACATGAGTGAGAAAGGATTGCAACTTTTGGCTAAGCAGTCCCTTATTCCCATGGCCAAAGGTGAATATGTGAATCCTTGTGATGTTTGCCTATTTGGAAAGCAACACCGAGTTTCTTTTCAGAAGAATTTGACTCGGAAGGAGAACAAGCTAGACTTGGTCTACTCTGACGTTTGTGGTCCCCTGGAGGTAAAGTCGTTTGGTGGTAATAAATATTTTGTTACCTTTATTGATGATGCAACTCGGAAGACTTGGGTATACTTGTTGCAGAATAAATGCCAAGTTTTCAAGTATTTCCAGCATTACCATGCTATGGTGGAAAGGGAGATAGGGTTGAAGTTGAAATGTCTCCGTACAGATAATGGAAGGGAGTACACCTCCAAAGAATTCAGAGACTACTGTTCCAAGCATGGCATGAGGCATGAGGCATGAGAAGACAGTTCTTGGCACACCACAACACAACGGTGTTGCAGAACGGATGAACCCTACCATTGTGGAGAAAGTTCAATGCATGCTAAAAATGGCAACTCTACCTAAGCCATTCTGGGGTGAGGCAGTCAACACAGTAGTGTATCTGATCAACCGGTCACCTTCAGTTCCTTTGAATTTTCAAATCCCGGAGAAAGCTTGGACGGAAAAGGACGTTGGATACTCTCACTTGAGAGTGTTCGGGTGCAAAGCATTTATGCACGTGCCAAAGGAACAGAGATCAAAGCTGGATGATAAAGCCATTCCATGCATTTTTGTTGGATATGGTGATGAGGAGTTTGGCTACAGACTATGGGACCTACAAAAGAAGAAAACTGTCAGAAGTAGATATGTCGTGTTTCATGAACACGAGAAAATTAATGATTTGAAGGAGGACAAAGCTACAGGAAGCTCTGGAGAGGGTGTAGAAGATTTAACATCGGCAAAAACTCCTTCAAGAAAAATTACAGATGAAGAAGAGGTGCAAGCACCAGAAGATGAGACAGAGGAGCCAACAATTGAAGAAGATGAAGCAAGTATAGATGGGGGAAATGATGAGCAGGGGGAGCAACCCCTGCCACAGGAGGAAGAACCTCAGTTGAGAAGGTCCACCAGAGAGCACAAACCATCTGCAAGATACCCCAGTTCTGATTACATCTTGATCACTGAAGAGGGGGAGCCGAAGAACTTCCAGGAGGTGCAGTCTCACCAAGACAAAGACTGTTGGATGAGAGCCATGCGAGAAGAAATGAACTCCCTCCACAAGAACAATACTTATGAGCTTGTGGAACTTCCCAAAGGAAGAAAAACCTTGAAAAACAAGTGGGTATTCAAGCTCAAGAAAGATGGTGACAAGATAGTCAGATATAAGGCTCGATTGGTGGTAAAGGGCTTCAGTCAGAAAAAGGGGATTGATTTTGATGAAATATTTTCCCCAGTGGTAAAGATGAGCTCGATTCACGTTGTGCTTGGTCTAGCAGCAAGCATGAATCTTGAGCTTGAGCATTTAGATGTGAAAACTGCATTTCTTCATGGTGACTTGCATGAGGAAATTTATATGGATCAGCCAGAAGGTTTTGAAGAACAAGGGAAGGAGCATATGGTTTGCAAATTGAAGAAGAGCTTGTATGGACTAACGCAAGCTCCAAGACAATGGTATAAGAAGTTTGACTCTTTTATGATGAGTCATGGTTACCAAAGAACAAATGCATATCCATGTGTCTACATCAGATTGTTCCTTGATGGCAACTTCATTATCCTTTTGTTATATGTTGATGATATGCTAATTTTGGGACAAGATGTTGAGAAAATTTGCAGGTTAAAAGAGGAGTTATCAAAGTCCTTTGACATGAAGGACTTGGGACCAGCAAAGCAAATTCTGGGTATGGCTATTACCCGTGATAGAAAGGCTGGGAAGCTGTGGTTATCACAGGAAAAGTATGTTGAACAGTTGCTTGAAAGGTTCAACATGAAACATGCTAAGCCAGTTAGCACTCCTCTTGCAAATCACTTCAAGCTAAGTAAATGATCTTGTCCAACTACCAAAGAAGAAAAGGAGAAATGTCATCTATTCCTTATTCTTCTACAGTCGGTTCACTGATGTATGCAATGGTATGTACACGGCCAGACATTGCTCATGCTGTTGGTGTTGTGAGTAGATTCTTGTCTGATCCAGGCAAGATTCACTGGGAAGCTGTTAAGTGGATCTTTAGATATTTGAGAGGAACTACCAAGTTGTGTTTGACTTTTGGGTAGACTGAACCAATTCAGGATACACAGATGCAGACATGGCAGGTGACCTTGATAATAGAAAATCTATTTCAGGGTATTTATTCACTTTTGCAAGGGGAGCTGTATCATGGCAATCAAAATTGCAGAA